CGCTGGTCGCTGATCTCTTCGACCGACTTGGAAAGGCCAGGTACTTCTCAAAACTTGATCTTAGGTCGGGCTATTGGCAAGTGCGCATTGCCGAAGGTGACGAGCCTAAAACGACGTGCGTCACTCGCTACGGGTCTTTTGAATTCTTGGTGATGCCTTTCGGCCTCACCAACGCCCCGACCACATTTTGTACATTGATGAATAGAATTTTCCAGCCTTTTCTTGATAAATTTGTCGTTGTCTATCTCGATGATATCGTCGTGTATAGCAACGATCTAACAAGCCACTTGGAGCATTTGAGACAGGTGTTCCAAGTACTCCGGGAGAACGAGCTCTATGTGAAGCAAGAGAAGTGCTCGTTCGCCCAAGAAGAGGTGTCTTTCCTAGGGCACCGAATCAGGGCTGGAAAGATCATGATGGAGAATGACAAGGTGCGCTCCATCAAAGAATGGGAGGAGCCTAAGAACGTCTCAGAGTTACGTTCTTTCCTTGGGCTTGCAAACTACTACAGGCGATTCATTAAGAGCTATTTAGCACGAGCAGCACCACTGACCGATCTCTTGAAGAAGAAGGTGCAATGGTGCTGGGATGACAAATGCCAGGCAGCCTTCGATGACTTGAAAAAGGCGGTCACCGAAGAGCCTGTCTTGGCCTTGCCAGACTACTCTAAGCCATTTGAGCTACATACGGATGCCTCCGATTTTTCCATTGGAGGGGTTCTCATGCAAGAGGGGCATCCAATTGCCTATGAGTCACGCAAGCTAAATGACACCGAGAAGAGGTATCCGGTGCATGATAAAGAAATGACGGCGATCATTCATTGTTTGCGAATATGGAGGCACTATCTCTTGGGAAGTCGGTTCACCATCATGACCGAGAACGTAGCAACAAGCTATTTTCAAAATCAGAAGAAGCTCAGCCCCAAACAAGCTAGGTGGCAAGACTTCTTGGCCGATTTTGATTATGTGATGGAGTACAAGCCAGGAAGGGTTAATGTGGTTGCTGATGCTCTTAGTCGCAAGGCCATCTTTGCTAGTGCTAGCAGTGTCACTAGCAACGTCCTTGGACGGATCAAGGATGGATTAGAGCATGATTCAATGGCCAAGGGGCTTGTTGACTTGGCCAAAGAAGGGAAGACCCGACGGTTTTGGGTAGAGGATGGGATACTCTTCACCGCCGGAAGACGCATCTACGTGCCTAAATGGGACAACCTTAGGTGTGATGTGTTGAAGGAGTGTCATGATTCTTTATGGGCAGGACACCCAGGCATCCAACGCACCATGGCACTCTTAGAGGAGATCTATTATTGGCCTCATATGCGAGACGATATTGAGGCGTATGTCAAGACTTGTCTTGTGTGCCAGCAAGACAAGGTGGAACAACAAGTGCCGGCGGGTCTGTTACAGCCATTGCCAATTCCGGAGAAGCCTTGGGAAAGCGTCTCAATGGATTTCATATCAGCCTTGCCCAAGTCAGCTGGGTGTGGATCAATAATGGTGGTCGTCGATCGCTTTTCCAAATACGACACTTTCATATCGGCACCAAAGGATTGCACCGCGGAGCAAGCCGCTAATTTGTTCTTCAAGCATGTGGTGAAGTATTGGGGCTTACCGCGGAGCATCATCAGTGATAGGGACCCAAGGTTCACCGCCAAATTCTGGACAGAGTTGTCCAAGCTCCTTGGGTCAGGGCTTCATTTTTCAACAAGCTTTCACCCACAATCAGATGGGCAGACGGAGAGGGTGAATGCTTTGCTCGAGTTGTATCTGAGGCACTGTGTGAGTGCCAATCAGCGAAATTGGGCGAAGTTCATGGACATAGCCCAATTCTCTTTCAATCTACAAAGGTCCGAGGCAACACAACAAAGTCCTTTTGAGATAGTCATGAGGCAAAAACCTTTGACGCCACAAGCCGTTGCATCGGGCTACACGGGTAGCAGCCCAGCAGCCTACAAGCTAGCCAAGGGGTGGCACGAGCAGTTGGACATAACGAAGGCTTATCTTGACAAAGCCGCCAAGAAGATGAAGAAGTGGGCGGACAAGCATAGACACCCGTTGGAGTTCATGGAGGGCGACTTAGTCATGGTCAAGCTGCTGCCTCAGCAATTTAAAGTCTTCCGCAAGGTGCACAAAGGCCTTGTGCGGAAGTACGAGGGACCTTTCTCGGTGATCAAGAAGGTTGGGAAGGTCTCCTATAAGCTTGAGCTACCACCAAAGCTCAAAATCCACCCGGTGTTCCATGTGAGTATGCTCAAACCCTATCATGAAGACAAGGAAGATCCATCAAGGGGTGAGTCACACCGAGCACCAACAGCGGTAGTGACTTCGTATGATCGGGACGTCGGGGTCATTGAGGCCAAGAGGGCCATAAGGAAAAGAGGTGTGCCAAGCTATAACGAATATCTTGTCTGATGGAAAGGTCTTCCGGACAGTGAGGCATCATGGGAAAGAGAGTAAGACTTGTGGCAATTCAAGGACAAGATCTCGGAGTTCAAGGGGCGACCTTGACGGGGTCGTCAAGACTTGGGTGGGGGAGCATGTCACAACTCAAGTCCCACACCCACAATGGCAGCAAGAAACGTCACTTGGGCACTAGGCAACAGATCGGGCCAAGGGAGTTGCCCATGGGTGCTAGGAAGCACCACTCCCCTAAAGAGCTTTAAATAGCAACCTGCTTATAAACCTAGTGAACACTCAAGTGACAGTAACACAATAAGGGGTCATTTAGGAGACCAAATGGAATCCAAATGAACCCAAACTTGGTGGTCCATCGTTTTTGGACCCAATGAACACAATGGTGCAACCAGAATTTCGAGGAAAGGTCCGGAACCTTCCAGAACGTGCTACAAGGCTCGGGATGCGTCCGGAAGCTTCTAGAAGTATCTAGGTTGCTCTTGAACATACTTGTAATCTCTAGAGTAATGTAGAATACTCCGGAAACTTGTACATATGAGTAGGGACTCAGAAGTGTATAGAAGTCTCTAGAAAAGTAAGCTTCTAGGACCCTCCATTTAAGGAGGTTAGAAAGCTCTAGAATAGAACATTCTAGCTACTTAGGAGGACTATAAATAGGGTCCTTCCCCTCATTTTGAAATCCATCCAAGCATTTGAAAAACACTCTTTCTCAAGCAATACAAAGTTCTCTTAATCATTCTCTCACTTGTGCTTTACTTACTCACTTACTTTAGCTTTCGTTGCCATAGTTGCTATAAGCAATACTCGGGGTAAGCCTTGACTAGCAACCTTAGGGAAGGAAGTTAGTGGGCGCGCGTGCAAAAGACTAAGGGGATCAGTCGGCACGTGACAATGCCCTAATTAAGCTTTTGACTCAAATGAGTGTTTTGAGCCATTTTGTATATACTTTGGTGAGCGTCAACTCATTTTAAATTTTAAATACTAAGGTTTGTTGATTAGTTGATGTACTATTTAATTATTTCATGCTTGAACTAATTTAATTAGTAACCAAACTAATACTTTCAAAGTTTCAATGTCATTGAATTTTGATTTTAATCTATATAGTTTCATGTCCAAGAATAATTGACTTGTTTGACTTTTTCATTATCTTTAGCCACATATTAAAACTAATTTTATCATGAAATACGTCGTTAAATTGATACATGAAGTTTCATAATATCAACTTTTTTAAATATTTATTTCAAAATATTTAAATACACATTAGAATGCATAGGATGTATTATATTGCAAAAGGAAAAAAAATTAAAAAATTTACGTAGTTTTGTTTTCTGTCTTAGAATTTTCTAAATATAGCTTGTTACTTGATTGATACTGATTGAAGTTAATAATTTCCCTCTTTTTCTTGCTTAATTGTGATTGTAGGCATGAAAATTTTAATTAAAGTGCCATCACTAGTAGAAAAAAATGTTATTTGTAACTGGCGAAATTGACTTTTTGTAACTGACATTGTTGGTTGCGGATGCCACCGTTACAACTAGTAAAAATTATTTGTAACCGGCTAATGTTAGTTACAAATAATGTACTATTAGTAACTGGCTTAGCCTAATGCCAGTTACAAAAAGTCTATTTTCTAATTTAGAAAGCATACTATTCGTAACTGACACTAAGTTAAGCCGGTTACAATTAGGGTATTATTAGTAACTGGCAAATCTTAACGCTGGTTACGAATATATTTTTTCATTTTTTTTCTGAAAAATACTATTAGTAACTAGCATTAGATTACGCCACTTACAAATAAATAAATAATTTTTTATATAAATATTTGATTCGAATACAGTTATGGTAGTATATCCTACCAAACGACCCATCGTCAAATGAGTTACAGTGATAATTGGGGAAGAAGAAAAGGATAAAAGAGCCGGAACTTGAACTTTTCAACCTCTATAAATCTCTATTTCCTTTTGAAGTCTACATACATGGTACAAGTATCTCATAATAAAATAAATAAATCAACTAACACACCCAAAAGCTCTAAAGATGGCTCACACAAATTGAAAAACAGACATCATGCAATTCCTAGTACCAAGGTTCAATGAATGATTGAGATGAGATATGAGGAGGAAAGACCCTGTTTTCTGCAAAGCTTCAAGGCAGATGTTCTTTGCACAGTCGTTTTACAAGGTCTCGGGGCTCATATCTAGAGCCTTTTAACTTTATGACCTCACTTGATACTCCCCTGCACGAGTTAGAGCTTTGAAACCCTTGTAAGGCCGATTCGCTACATTTGACACTTCAAGCTTATCTATTTGCAGGCCAAAAAGAGAAATACCCATGATGCGGAACTCTGCTACAAAAGTTGGGAATACATGAAGCTTTTCACAGCCTGCTTCAAGCATTAATGTTCCTGTCAAAGAAGGGGCTTTGTCCTTTGGTATTCCACCAATAGACCTAGAACAGAATTGGATTTGTGTACAATGTAAGTTCATGGATTAGTCAAGTCTAACACCTCCCCCCACAGAAGAAGAAGAAGAAGAAGAAGAAGAAGAAGAAGAAGAAGAAGAAGAAGAAGAAGAAGAAGAAGAAGAAGAAGAAGAAGAAGAAGAAGAAGAAGAAGAAGAAGAAGAAAGAAAGAAAGAAAAAAAAACAATCAATCATTCATTCAAAGCTAAATAAGGAAAGGTAATCTTTGTACTGATAGCTGGAATCATATAAAAGTGTTACCTTGTTAGCAAGGATGTCCTACAACACAAGGATGAGAAACTGAGAGTAACTGAGAAAGTAGCTGATGAATTAAGGAATTCAGTTCCGAATCTTAGCTCTGAATTCAGTTATGAAATTCAGCTCTGAATTCAGTTCTGAAATTCAGCTCTGAATTCAGTTCTGAAATTCATCTCTACCCAATTTCAAAGCCATCACAATAGCGACTAGTTCATTTTCTCTACGTTGCCTAGACTAGTTCATTTTCTCCACGTTGCCTATAATGAGAAGGTTCATAAGAAAATAACCAATGGGCAATTGATCACAAATAACACAAGAAATTTACAATACAAATCGTTAAAAATTTAATATAGGAGGTAGAAGTAAGAAACTCGGTGTTTTTTTTTTTTGGAAATCCACAACAATTACTTGATAGAGCTAACAATTAAATTTAAGTGAAGCCAGCACATCTAAGATAGAGCAAAACTGATTTAATTGGGGAAGATCCTTGTTAAAATTTCAGATATTCAAATTGATCTAAACTGATCAGGTTTTTAGTCATTAAATTATTATTGGATAGTATCATGAAATTAATCAATTTTTCCCCACCACAAAGCACATGAAAAGATGCAGCGATTCATACCTTGTCCTTGATACGCATGCTCATTGCCGGTATGTCAGAAATAAAGATTGTGCGGTAATTTTCAGCAAATGCAATATAGTCTGCAGCCCCAACCTAACAACAATTAAAACAACAAATGTTGGTATTATATATAAACTACTCCAAAAGCAAAGGTAATTGACAATGCACAAATTTAATGTTTTGGTCTTCCACAAAGATACTCAAAGAAAAACCGTGCAACCCCATTGCAGCTTTGAGGAACATCCAGAGATCTGCATAAATGAACCTAATTAATCAAACATGTGTTACAAATCCATAAATATACTTAGAAAAATAGAATAATACCTTCCAAACATCACTGGAACAGACTCAGTTGTCACAACTCCTCCATATTCATTAGTGACCTCATACCACACTTTGTCAAATTCCTGCAATGCCTTGCTATCTAAAGGGCAAAAACAGTTAACCTGTGAATGGAGATACTTGAATTAAGATGGGAAACCATAACCAAGTATACAAGGTAGAGTTGATAGGAAAAAAAGAAAAAAGAAAAAAAAAAGGGCATGAATAATTTCTACCTTGTTAGCAAGACAAACACACACTCTTGGTACATCTCGAAAGTTTGCTCCTGGAACACTTTTTAAATACAATACCCAAGTGGAAAAGAAGCAAGCAGTCAAGTAAAATATGATGATTACCTTTTTCTCAGGAATCCGACAAACCCTCAGAGAACTCAATTTGACAATTTGGTATGACAAAAAAACATATATCTGACATAATTAGAGAACTCAATCTTGTACCTTTGGCATATCGGAGATAGCAGTGCCAAGAAAAATCTTAGAATTAGACCAATTTGATAGTTGAATAAAAATTATCAAATTTATCGAACCTGATCTTTGTTCGGGAAGTAACAGTTTATCTTTGATTTTAGAATAGGGATTGACTTTGAAGAACAAGACAGGTAAACAATGCCACAAGTTATACCATGTTCGTGATACAACACTAGTTTTTCCGGCTTCCTTCATTGTTAAAAGGGACATGATTGACATCAAAACATCATGTGGCAACTGACTCAATCGATCATTGGTATCAATAAATTCACATCCTTTCGCTTCAGAACACTGAAGTAATTAATTATCAATTAGCGTGACAAATTTTGTAGCAAATTCGTACATTAATAATGGACAAAAATAAATAATACACCTGCCTGATGCTTGCAAGATTTAAAGGTAGGCTCCATATTGATCACAAAATACAAACTACAAGGTTAAACAATACCAATCAAATACACCAATATAAATATAATCAAAGGTGACCCAACACTAAATGCTTGATTAAATCCAAAAATCACTCAATTATATATGGGGGAAGGATTTACAGAGAAAACAAGGGTGCTAATGTAGACACCCATTTGTGTCTCCCCAAAACCAAACCTAGTGATGAGTACCTTTCATGTCGAATCATAATCGAATGAAACGAAAGTGTGGAAAATCTAGTGTTGCGGATAGTTTTAATTTATTTTCTTTTCTCTCTGTTTTTGAAAACTTATTTTAAGAAAACAGCCAATCCAGTTTGGTTGGTCCATGATATGGGTCCAATAGTAGTGTAGTTGGATGGGGCTTGCAAAGACCTTTCCAACGATATATTATAAGCCCAATTCCGATGAATATTGAGGAAGTTATGGCCAATTTACTAAACTGGGCCCGGTTTGAACTTTATATACGACCCAATGATCTTAGGGAGGGCCTAATATGATTTATCATTCCTAATGCAATTAGGAATGGTTTTAGTCTTCTAGATTCTTCTAAAAGGTTCTTTTCATTCCTAATTCAATTAGCATTGATAAATTGACTTTTGTTGACTTTTCAGAGTTTTAATCAAAATCAAATAGCATTCTCGAGGAAATTATATGATTTTATCCTCCAGTACGGCAAATTTATCTGATTTCCGAAAACGCGTTAAAATCAGGCTCGGCGCCTAACCCCAGGCCTTGGCACCTGGAACCAGGCCTGGCGCTTGGCGCCTGGCGCCAGTGTTGGTGTCTGGCGCCAGCTAGCCAGGGTTGGCGCCAGCTCTGTTTTTTGTGCGTCAGACTCTGTTTTGTTTAATTTATCTCTTGGCTGATTTTCTCTATAAATATCGTATTAAAAACTCCGTTTTGAGGCACCTAAACTTATTCATTCATCACCAATTCTCAGCTATTCTCACTAATCATTCACCAATTCTACATCCATCATTCACCTACAATCAGTTCTAATTAGCATTTTCTTAATTCTTCATTCATTGTTCTTCAAACTTTGCTTTTTCATACAAAATTCCGCGTTCATTAGATCTGGAAACACCTAGCCATATTCGAAGTTGCCTTCGCCCTAGACGTGAAAGGTTTTAATTTCTGAGGGTTTGATCCCAAATCTCTCTTTCAATTATTTAATTCAATTGTTTTGATTATTATTTTCCTTGAATTTACTAACGTGTGTATTTTGTTATTAGAAAGAGGTACGAAGCATCAAAGTAAGTACTTTAATTGATTTTAATTGATATTATTGATGTAGAAATCATGTTTATATTGTTCTTATGATATTCCTAGTATCATGTCTAGGGTAATTTTAACATTTAATATGATTCCTGCGATGCTTCCTATGTTCTTCCTAATATTTACGATTGTTAGTATCATGTTAGGGTTAAAGATTTGATTTTTATTGCTTAGTGACATGCTAGGGTTTGTTATTAATCTTGTTAGTATCATGCCTAGGATCTTGCTATTTTTATTATGCTTTAATATTAACATGAACATGATTATGATTATAATTGTTATAATTTATGATGATTATGGATGTTATTATTATTATTATTATTATTTTGATGATGATTATTTTATTTTGATGATATTATTATTATGATTATAATTTTATTATTCATGATATTGATTATTATTATGTTGCTTGATATTATTTATATTTATTGCTTGATCACGCCTTTTATGCATGTTTAAAGGGAATTTGTAGTTGTAATCACGCTTAATAAGATGATTAATAATCTTGTTAGGGTTAATTTGATTATAATTCAAGTGATCGCCAATAATACATTTATTTGTGCATTATATTCAACCAACATAGTTAAACAGGTTTAGGGTTAATCCTATTGATTGCATGTTAATTAGAAAGCGCAGATGAATACGATCAGAATAAAGTAGAGGCCTATTATTAGGGCAGGTTCAATCTCTTTTAGGTTGGATTTGTACCTTCATCCCCGAACCCTTATTTGGTTCATGACCTTATGGAGTTGACGATCTCTTGGATCGTTAAGGGGTTTAACCTTCACCTCGTGAACGGTTTACAAGTTCCTAAAACTTGTTGGCGACTCTTTTGCTCTATCTTTTTCCCTTTTGGACACCACCGTACTTTAGTGTATGATTACAGTGGGGTTCAAGCTAGTGGGATTTAAAGGCTTGAAAATATTCCCTACAGCTAAATAATAAAAATAGCAACTTTAACAAGCAAATTTTGATTTAATTATCAAATTAAGCTCATAATTTTGTAATTTTCGAGGCTATATCGTGTGAATAAGATGAATAGGTGTGGTGAATATTTCAAGCGTTAATCCCCTATCTTGAACCCCACTGTGATCATACACTAAAGTACGGTGGCGTCCAAAGGGAAGGAAGCTAGAGCAAAAGAGTCGCCAACAAGTTTTTTTGGGAACTTGAATTGTAAACCGTTCACGAGGTGAAGGTTACACCCCTTAACGATCCAAGAGATCGTCAACTCCATAAGGTCTTGAACAAAATAGGGTTCAGGAATGAAGGTACAAATCCAACCTAAAAGTGATTGAACCTGCCCTAATAATAGACCTCTACTTTATTCTAATCGTATTCATGTGCGCTTTCTGACTAACATGCAATCAATAGGATTAACCCTAAACCTGTTTATCTATGTTGGTTGAATATTAATGCACAAATAAAACTATTATTGGCGATCACTTGAAATTATAATCAAATTAACCTTAACAAGATTATTAATATCTTATTAAGCGTGATTACAAGTACCAATTCCCTTTTAACATGCATAAAAGGTGTGATCAAGCAATAACAATATATATCAAGCAACATAATAAATAATCATCATAATAATAATAATAATAATAATAATATTCATAACCATAATCATGAATCATAAAAATAATCATAATCATAATTAATAATCATAAATCATGTTAAAGCATAATAATAGCAAGATCCTAGGCATGATACTAACAAGATTAATAACAAACACTAGCATGTCACTAAATAATAAAAATCAAAGCTTTAACCCTAACATGATACTAGAAATCATAAATATTAGGAAGAACATAAAAGGCATCATACTTTTAATCATACTTGTTATTAAAGTTACCCTAAACATGATACTAGGAATCAAAATAACAATCTAAGCATGATTTCTACATCATAATATCAATTAAACCATTAAAGTACTTACTTTGATGCCTCGTACCTCTTTCTAATAACAAAATACACACATTAGTAACTTCAAGGAAAATAATAAGCAAAACAATTAAATCAATTAATGGAAAGAGAGATTTGGGACCAAACCCTCAGAAATTAAACCTTTCACGTCTAGGGCGAAGGCAACTTCGAATATGGCTAGGTATATCTAGATCTAATAAATGCGGGATTTTATTTGTAAAAGGCTAGTTCAGAAAAGAGAGAGAAAGAGAATAATCAAGGAAATCTTGATGAGAGTTGGTGAAAATAGAGAGAATTGGTGATTGTTGATGATTGAAAATTGGTTATCGAAAACGGAGTTTTTAGCACGTTATTTATAGAGAAAATCAACCAAAAAGATAAAATATCAAAACAGAGTTCTGGCGCAGATAAAAACTGATTAGCGCCAACGCTGGCTACTGGCGCCAGACGCCAACATTAGCGTCAGGCGCCAATGCTAGCGCCAGGCGCTACAGCTGGCGTTTGGCGCTGATTCAGAAATTCACTCGTTTTCTTAAAATCAGATAGAAATTGCCGTACAGGAGGATAAAATCGTATCTTCCCAAAAAAATAACGTTCTTTGATTTTAATTAAAACTCTGAAAAGTCAACAAAAGTCAATTTATCAATGCTAATTGAATTAGGAATGAAAAGAACCTTCTAGAAGAATCTAGAAGACTAAAACCATTCCTAATTGCATTAGGAATGATAAATCTATATTAGGCCCTCCTAGATCATTGGGCCGCATATAAGGCTCAAACCGGGCCCAGTTCAGTAAATTGGCCATAACTTTATTAATATTCATCGGAATTGGGCTTATAATATATCGTTGGAAAGCTCTTGTCAAGCCCCATCCAACTACACTACTATTGGACCTATATCATGGACCAAACAAACTGTATTGGCTGTTTATCTTAAAATAAGTTTTCAAAAACAGAGAGGAGAAAAGAAATTAAAACTATCCACAACACTAGACTTTCTACACTTTCACTTCATTCGATTATGATTTGAAGTGAAAGATACTCATCACCGGGTTTGGTTTTGGGGAGACACAAATGGGTGTCTACAGAAGCCGCCACTTTGACTGAGTTTGGAGAAACGCAAGTTTCGAAAATAAAAGTCAAAGTATCGATAGGGACGGAGAATGATTCAGAACGTTCTGCGATCCTAAACCACTCTTGTAACGCCGATACCTGCAAACTAGCGTTATTTAAACAGATAAGAGAATTAAGAAACGCGTATCTTGTACCGTCGAGCACACGTCTCTAGAGTAACCGATTTGCTGCCGCTAGACTCTTGTTTTGATGACCTCCTGCCAAGAGAATGCCATCCGGCTTTAAAACTGCTACGCTTGTAACTGCTTTGATAATTGCTTCGCTTGAAACGATCCTCTTCCGCTTTGATAATATTCCACGTCCAAGGGAATACTATCAAAGATTGCTTCGCTTGAAACAATCCTCTTCCGCTTTGTGACCATCTTCCACGTCCAAGGGAACATGATCGAAGACAACTTTGCTTGAAATCACCTTCAGTTGTTTGTGACAACTTTCCACAATCTAGGGAACGCCACCTTGCTGTTTCGATGTTCACTCGTCTCTGAAAAAAGAGATTCTTTTTTTGGATATGTTCACGCGACTCTGAACAAAGAGCTTTATGGAAATGTTCACGCGTCTCTGAACAAAAGATCTTGTGAGAAATGTCCACGCATCTCTGAACAAAAGAGCTTTGATGATAATATTCCGAAGACCAACGCTTGCCGATCTCTAAAGCTTGCTTGAACTTTGCTTCCGTTATGCTAGTACGTCGAC